TAGATGTTTCACCGCATTGCTCGTCGTCGGCAGGTAAATCCGGCTGCTCCCGTTTTTATTTTTATTTTTTTTAAGTTTTTGACTCCCCGACAATATTGCGCACCACCGTTCACCCAGCGTCCGCGTCTCCCAGTTGAAGAATAAGGTTGAAGCTCTCCCTTTTTTTTTTTTTTTTTTTTTTTGGTGTTTTTGTCTCCCCAACAATATCGCCCACCACCGTTCACCCAGCGTCCGCGTCTGCCAGTTGAAGTATAAGGTTGAAATTCCCGCGCGATAATCTGGCTACAGTGAAGGCACAAATGCTATCAGAGTCGGTTAGAAGGCTCGCATCTAACCGCTTTGCAGCCCACCAGCCTATCACGCCACGAAGTACCGCAGGTTCTGGGTCTCAGCTGCGGAGATTCACTCTACAGTGGTAGTGAGCTAGACTACGAGGGTTGGAACGAACTACTAAGAGTGATCGCAGATTTGCTTGGTTCCTTAGTGCTTGCACATTCATGGGAGAAATCAACAAGAGTTTCCACTAGCAAAGCGGAAATTACAGAATGATTGAACAAGCAATGACAGGAAATGACTACATCAGGCACCTAGCAACTCTGCAGCTAGCCTGGTCGACTGCCAACACAGCTTGGTTGACCGTCTGCCAGCATTGCGTAGAGGAGCCGTGCCAGCACTGCAGAAAGGCGACCTACCAACATAGCAGGTCGGCGGCGTACCAACGCTGCAGCAAAGCGGCAGTCCAGCGTTGCCCCGTAGAAGACAACAATGCGCACGCTCGCAGGTGTGCGCAGTCGATTGGCCCGACTCGCCTTGTTGTGCATCGGACGGCTGTTGTCTGCGTCTGAGAAGCCACATCGACTTCGGGATACCAGCCCGAAGTCGCCTTCGTCACTGAGACCCCGACGACCATCCCATGCCTCCGTAGAACCCGCCGAGCAGGTTACCTGGTCGACCACCAAGTGCTCCGGTCGACCAACAGGCGCCTCTGGTCGACCACAAGGTGCTTCTAGTTGACCACCAAGTGCCTCTGGTTGACCACAGCTCGTGTTAAGCTACCCCCTGGGTGACGGACCCCTTCCATCGACCAAAACTGTCAGTTGTTTTCGCCGAGCTCCCCTCGTCGACTGTTGCTCTCAGTCGAACTGCTCTGTCGACTGTTGGTTGACGGCCCACCCGTTGCCCAGCCCAGTCAGCTGCAGCTGTCGAGCTCCCTGGTCGACAGCAACACCACAGCGGTCCCTTGCAGCTTGACGAAGCTCGTCGAGCAGCTCTCCCACTGTGAACGGTCTGCTGCTTCACCCATACATCCGACCAAGTTGTCGGCGTTGCCCTAGCGAGGGAGGGGCTAACACTCCACTCTCGTTACCATCAGCTTCGCCGCTGCGCTGTCAACTCGTGTAGACGCCTAGGTAAGGAGAAACCAGTAAATTGCACCGTTGTTGTCTTGGCAGCTCCCCGAATTTTTTCGCGTGTTGTTCACCCAACCCGCTTTTGTAGGAGTAGGACAGTGCCGCAGACTTCCGTTTTTTTTTTTTTTTTTTTTTTTTTTTGTATTTTCGTGCAGCTGTCGAACGAGCACCAATCCAGGTGCCTTTAACCAACACAAGGCAGGCAGATGTTCAGCCCCGTTATTCATCTGAATCAGGTCGACCGCATGAGTCGGAACCAGAATTTTGTGGGGATGGTGAGGTTCAGGCGAAGTAGGGCCGCAGATCGGTTCGACCGGCTTTTAATCTGCTCCCCACGACGTTCTTCAACCCCCGCTTAGCCGACGGGCCGTTTGTTCCCGTGTGTCCCGGTGGCTTGTACCACACTCCGAAATTGTCGGGGTGGTACCTTGAACACCGTTTAATTGTGGGCTGCTGCGGCTATCCCCAAAAACGGCTTCCTTGAACGGGGAAACCGATCTCGAAATTGTCGAACAGCTGGCAAACAGCTCCATACACGCAGCGTCGAACGCGTAATTTTTAGGTGTTTAGTCTCAATATGCCCTCGCGCCTGCACCCCATTCCGCTGAGTGCGATTTAGCCACTCCGTTGTTTGTTGCAGCGGTAAGTGTTGGCGGGTCTAAAGCTCCCCTCTATCCACATGCACTTCTGCCGAAATTGTTGATGACGCGCCCGCCAATGCAATAGGGGCCGCTGCACTTAACAGGTCGGGCAGGACGGCAGTTGAATACCGCATAAGTCGGGTAGTCCTTGTGGCGTCTCTCCTCGTCACCAGATTTTCTCAGATGCAATTAGTTTAGCGCATGGCGAGTCTGTCAGAATGAACAAGAGTGATTGAACTAGGAAAGAGTTGGGTTCAAGTAGAAAACCCTAAACTACCACACTACAGCCTGAACAAACTGTAGCAGATATAACATTTGACACATCCCCATAGGCAAAGTGGGGGAGAGCAAGGGGTCACAAGACCAGTCAAGAAAGGCAAAGAAAGCTCAGGGTGGATCACAACGTCACCACACTCACTGAGCACAAGCAAAGGGCCAGAAGGCCTGTTCACATGCAGAGGCATATATGTAACACAAACATCACAGTGATCTCCACATTGCAAAGCAAGCATGCAGGTATATATATATAGATCACAGTACAAGTAAAGCCTACAGCAAGTGAGGAAAAGTGGGCACAAGCCCTAGCACAGTGCAGAAACGCTGATGATCACCAGACTGAAGTGCCTTGGTGAATATATCAGCAATGTTGGCCCGAGTGGCCACGTAACGTAGACGAAGCTGACCACGCTGCTGCAACTCTCGAGCCAGGAAGTAACGCAGAGCGATGTGCTTTGTTCTGTGCTCCAGTCTGTGCTCCTCACACAAGGCAATGGCAGCCTTGTTGTCGACGTACAGCACTAGAGGAGAACGAGGCCGCTCTCCCAGGTCGGTCAGCAGGTAGTTGAGCCAGCGTAACTCCTGTGCAGCCATGGCCCCCGCGTAGATCTCAGCCTCACAACTGGAGCTGAGAACTGAAGACGAGCGTGTAGAACGCCAAGAGACAGAGCCAGAGCCAAGACTGAAGGTGTAACCCTGTGACGACCGCTGAGTAGCCTGGTCGTCAACCCAAGAAGCGTCTGAGTGCCCAGTGAGGACAACTGAGCCCCTCCCTACAAGCATGAGCCCCATGCCTGATGTACTACACAAGTAGCGGAGTACCCTCTTAGCAGCATCCCAGTGCACCTTTCGGTGCTGACCAGGAGCCACATAGCGAGCCAGAAGGCCAAGAGGGTACGCGAGGTCAGGACGAGTGCAAGTCATCAGGTACATGAGGCAGCCAACGAGCTCTGAGTAAGGACCACTCGGCTCTACGGACTCGTCCGAAGGTGGAGCTGAGAGCGAGTGACAAGATGAAGCCGAAGCGCTGAAGGACCTGCTGCACCATGTGTGACTGAGTCAGTGTGATGGTGCGGTGTGCTCTGTCCCGGGTGATTTGCAAGCCAAGGTAACTGCGCAGCTCACCCAAGTTTGTGCACGTGTGTCTTTTCTGCAGCTCCGACTTCACCAGACGAGAGCCTCAGTGTCAGCAGTGGCAAAGACCAAGTCGTCAGCGTACATGAGGATGTAGAACGGCGGCAGCGAAGTGTCGGTGCGCAGAAATAGCGACGGGTAAGCAGTAGAGGGTGCGAACCCAAGAGCCGCAAGTGTAGTCCTCAGTGTGTCGTGCCACTCACGTGGCGACTGGCAGAGACTGTACACCGGCCGCCGGAGGCTCCACTGGGTACCAGGAGGAAACGACCCAGTGAAGCCAGGAGGGCGGCGCAGCAAGATCTCCTCGTGCAGGCTGCCTTGCAAGAAAGCTGTGCTGAAGTCAAGAGAGTGAATCTCGTAGTCGCGCTGAGCGGCAACGTGCAGTAGCACCCGAAGAGTGGTCATCTTCAGGGTGGGGGAGAAGGTATGGAAGAAGTCTACTCCCTCTTGCTGACTGAAGCCTCGAGCAACGTAACGAGCCTTGAAGACAGGCGGAGAACCTGGCGGCCGCTTCACCCTGAAAATCCACATGCTATTGACGATGTTCGCTCCAGTAGGGGGAACCTCGTCGACGTAAGTGCCAGTGGACTTCCAGGATGCCATCTCTGCGTCCATGGCTGACTGCCACTGAGAGGAGTACTCACCCGCGATCGCCTCAGCGTAAGAGCGTGGGGTCGGGATGTCTGGTGCATCCGGGTCTCCGTCAGGTGCAAGAGATGAGGTACAGCAGCGGCAAAGCACTCAAACTCCTCCTGCCTGTCCTCAAAGACGTTCGTGCCAAGAGCACACTCACCCCCGACGGACGGAGGACAGACAGACTCAGAGTCACCAACAAGACTCGCAGCGTAGTCTAGACGCCAGTGAGTAGCAAAGTCGATAAGCTCAGCAACTAAGGCAGACGCAGCAGCTGACTCAAAGGAAGGGTCAGTGACAGCCGTGGCCAGGAGACGCGTGACAGAAGGACTAGCAGCACAAAGAGAGTCAGACTCTGGGTCAGCAAGTGAAGGAAGGTAGGACGCAGGAGGAAAAGGCAGAGGGACACGCTGTGGAGCAGTGGAAGGACGAAGCGTTATCTGGTGAGTGCCTGGGACAGCAGGAGGACGCTGACGCGGAACACGACGACCAGTGCGAGCAGCACGAACAGGTGACGCAGAACGAGTCTCGGGCGACACAGGACGAGACGCAGGCTCTCGACGCTCCGTAAGACCTCCTGTCAGACCAGTGTAGGGAGAAGGACCAGGGAGGGGCGAGGCAGGTTGTAACTGTAACTGCAACTGGACAGGCTGAGGACACTCTAAGGAGGGAGCAGGACAAGGAGGAGGCAGCTGACCAAGAACCTGCTGAAGGAGAGGAACGAAGTACGGGTGCGGCCGTGAAGCGCCCCAAGAACTAGCAGAGACAGCACCAGAACCCCCACCAGCAGCTCCAACTCCTGCAGCACCACCAGCAGCTCCAGTAGTGCCAACTCCAGCACCTGCAGGAGGACGAGCGTCAGCACCCCCAGCGCCAGCCCCTGCAACACCAACGCCAGGGTCAGTAGCTACACCAGCTCCAGTAGGCCCAGCGGCCTCAGCTCCACCGGCAGCTCCAGCAGCTCCAGCACCTCCAACTCCAACTCCAGCACCAGCAGCACCTCTAGCAGCTCCAGCACCAGCAGCACCTCCAGTAGCACCAGCTCCAGTAGCTCCAGCTCCAGTTCTAGTAGAACCCCCAGTCCCAGCAGCTCCAGGACCGCCTGTACGAGCACCTCCAGGACGAGAGGCTCCAGTACCTCCAGCAGCACCAGGGCCTCCAGCGGGCGGCACCCCAGTGCTAGGAGCGCCGCTCCGGAGACTGCAGCGTCGAGCGTACCACTCACGCAGCCGCTGTGGGGAGGGAGGCTCCGGCCGCGACAAAGCACCCGCAGCACCACCAACTCCAACTTTGGCAGAACCCCCAGCTCTAGCAGCCCCACGCTGGAGGCTGCAACGCTGAGAGTACCACTCACGCAGATGCTGTGAAGAGGGAGCGCCACCAGGCGCAGCACGGTCAGTCTCAGCTCCCCCAGGCTCGGCACCGCCAGTCTCAGCACCCCCAGGCTCAGCACCCCCAGTCACAGCACCCCCAGACTCAGCACCCCCAGAATGAGCACCCCCAGACACAGTACCTCGCGCAGGACCAGAGTCGACAGCTACCTCGACAGGCTCGACCGGGTCTACCTGGGAAACACCCGAGGGAGCAGGACCCTGGGGAGGGAGGGGGTCTACCGAAGCAGGACCCTGGGGAGCCTCTGTGAGAGGGAACGAGGAAGAGTGAGGAGTTGCGCACTACCGCCCCTCGACACAGGGAAGACAGGGAGGAGCAGGCGAGGGTGGGAGGGGAGGGAGAACCCTGGGAAGACCAGAGACAAGGTACCGGGAGTGCATGCCACAAAGGCGCTGCACTGAGGGGTGACCAAGGCGGTGGTGCCAGAGAACGGTCTGGTGCAACAGGGTGCAACACGAGCAGGGGGCGGACAACTGACCTGACGGAGATGCAGACGCCGCTACTTAAGGGGACTCAGTGGTCGGTGTGTACAAGTCCGACCCCAGCTGCCGAGTGAAGGTAGCCAGGTGACGACCCGTCTGGGCACACGTGCAGTGTGTCGCACGCTCGTAGGCAGGGGTGAACTGGTGAACTCCCGCGTCCTGGAGCGCAGAACCCGCCACCAAGTTCGTTGAGAACGAGGGGAGGTAAAGGCCCGACAGTGTGCCGGACGGGACAGCAGGACAAGGGAGGGCAGTGGTGGAGGTCGCAAGGACCGGACCCCCGGAGGGGTCAGCCAGGGAGACAGCAACCGGTCTAGGGAGCTGCTCCGGGGCAGTGCGGTCGCGAAAGAAACAGCGGGAAGCACCTGAGTCCAGTGTGAAGGTGTGCAGCGCCTCAGTAGACGTAGTACATGAAGGCGCAGACTGACAAGCACCTGAAGCACCAGACTCACGAGCGCCTAGAGCAGCAGCCTCACCAGCACCTGGAGTAGGAGACGCACGAGCACCTAGAGCAGCAGTCTCACCGGCACCTGGAGTAGCAGACTGGATACCGGGGTCAGGCGGCACACACAGGTGACAGGCTCCCTCGGCACTAGTAGACAATGCATACATTGCAGTGAGAATAGCATCATAGTCAAGAGCAACGATATCTACCCTCTGCCTAAGCAGCTCCACCCATTCGGGGAGCTTTGCGTCGTCGCCGAACTCTGTACGCCAAGCGTCGCTCAGACTGGCGAAGTAGCGAGACTCTGTGTGAACAGGCGTCCCGCAAGGCTAACCAGTCCGGACACCCGTGCTAGCAGTACTCAGCGACCCTCTACTCTGAGCGTACCACTCACGAAGCTGCTAGGGCGAACGAGTCTCGCGGAGACAACACTGCTGCTGCACCGGGCCACTACAAGAAACTCCCGAACTACCCACTCCAGGACGACTCCCACTACTGCCACCCCGACAACCCCAACTGACATACTACTCACGAAGCTGCTGGGGCGTGAGGGACACACGCGGACGGCCCTGGAGCTGCATCTGGCCACGCCAGGAGCAGCAGTAGAAGCAGTAGCAGCAGGAGCACTAGTAGCAGTAGCAGCAGCAGTAACAGCAGTAGCAGTACGGGTAGGGAAGTGCTCACCAGTGGTGGGAAGGGCAGGTGCACGACGGAGGCGACTGCGGGGCCGCTACAGCGGCTGGGCGGGTCCGCGACCACGGCAGGGAGCTCCGCGGCAGCTGCTGCAGGGCAGGACCAGGCCGCGACAGCAGCTGCTGCAGGGGCGGCTGCTCCAGGGGCCAGGGGCGGCTACTGGAGTGGCGGCTGCTCCAGGGGCGGCTGCTCCAGGGGCGGCTGCTCCAGGGGCCAGGGGCGGCTCCTGCAGTGGCGGCTGCTCCAGTAGCCAGGGCGGCTGCTGAAGGGGCGGCCGCTCCAGGGGCCAGGGGCTGCTGCAGGTGCGGCTGCTTCAAGGGCCAGGGGCGGCTGCTGCAGTGGCGGCTGCTCCAGGGGCCAGGGGCGGCTGCTCCAGGGGCGGCTGCTCCAGGGGCCAGGCGCGGGGTAGGGCAGGGCGACGCGGCGGGCAGGGGCGACGCCGTGGGCAGGGGCGACGCGGCGGGCAGGGGGCGACGACGCGTCAGCAGCTGGGCGCGGCCGCGTCACTAGCAGGGCGCGGCCGCGTCAGCAGAAGGGCGCGGCCGCGTCAGCAGTAGGGCGCGGCCGCGTCAGCTGCAGGGATGGCAGGGCCGTGTCAGCTGCAGGGCTGGCAGGGCCGCGTCACGGCAGGGCGGGGCCGCGTCCGCGTCGGCGGCAGGGCTGGGCCGCGACCGCGGCAGGGTGGGGCTGCGTCAGTGACAAGACGGGGCCGCGACTGCGGCCTGACGGGGCCGCGACAGCGACCTGACAGCGACTTGAAGAGGCTGCGTGCGGGCGGCGAGGGCCTGGCGGGCCTGCACAGGCGGCTCGGGGGCCTGACGGGCCTGCATGGGCGGCTCGGGGGGCTGACGGGCCTGCAGAGGCGGCTCGGGGGCGTGACGCGCCTTCAGGGGCGGCTTGAGGGCCTTACTAGCTTGCAGGGGCAGCGCACTGGCCTAGGGCAGCAGGAGGCAGCGCGAGGGCTGCAAGACGGCGCGCAGGCGGAAAGAAGGGCGGGGCGCGCGAGGGCGCACTAGCAGAAAAAGGCGCACGAGCAGAGAAAGGCGCACGAGGGCGCACGTAAGGTAGGGCGCACGAGGGCGCTTCTAGCGGAATAGTGGGCCCGTAGTAGTAAGCGGTCCTAGGTGGCAACCTAGGCTCGTGATACCATGTCAGAATGAACAAGAGTGATTGAACTAGGAAAGAGTTGGGTACAAGTAGAAAACCCTAAACTTACTGTACCCCATAGTAACTACCCCACTACAGCCTAAAGAAACTGTAGCAGATATAACATTTGACAGAGTCCCTTCAGCTGCCCCTTGTTTTTTCTTCATCTCCTCGGTAGAACCTCCGAAAATCTCGCACGCACGTTGACAAACAACCACGCCAACTTCCGCATAGGACGACGGCTCCGAAAATTTTGTGGAGGTGCCGACGCAGTTCCGCTTACGCCGGCTATCACATAATGAACTCCGAAATTGTTAGAACGCATCGGAAATAACTCATGTCGCGACAGCAACAGCTGTCCGTTGTCCGGGGGGAGGGAGATCACGGTCGATCGCGACCGTTCGAGGCAAGGATTTGGCGGCCCCAAAGGAGTGCCTGTAAAAGTATGGTCGCGAGGAGCAACTAACTAGTTCTCTTGGCCGGCTAGCACGCAACTCCTAGACCCCAAGGTATCCTTCCTCGTCCCCCCCCCCCCCCCCCCCCCGGAGGGGCATTACACTTAAAAAAGCGGGGTACGGTAGGAAAGTAGCTCTGATACCAAGTGTTATGAATGAACTTGGAGAGTGCGCAGGTGAACGAATAACGAGAACGTTGAACTACTAAATGACGATACAAAGAAAGTGACGATGCCTAAATAGGGGAAGTCCTAGCTAGGCGAAAACATAAGCGAAGATGGCTTGATGATGGTTGCGATTGGTGCGGAGACGACTCGGGACGACGAAATAGGCCGAACAGGTTCGTTGCGTGACCCTCGGAATGTACTGGCTAAAATGTGAGTACAATAAGGAGTAACAATTCCTTACATATGAGATATGAATGCAACATCTGAGAGCGAGTGACCAGTAGGCAGAGGAGTGGACTGTAATGAGGAGTACTGGAAGCGGAAGCGCTGAAGGACCTGGTGCATCATGTGTGACTGAGTCAAGGTGATGGTGTACTGTGCTCTTCCTCAGATGATCTGCAAGCCAAGATAGCTGCGCAGATCACCCAGGTCTGTGCACGTGTGTCTCTTATACAGCTCCGACTTCGCTAGGGCCAGTGTCAGCAGTGGCAAAAACCAAGTCGTCGACATAAACGAGGATGTAGAACGGCGGCAGTCAAGTGTCGGTGCGCAGAAAAAACGACGGATCAGCAGTCAAAGGAGCAAACCCAAGAGCCGAAAGCGTCGTCCTCAGTGTGTCGTGAAAGAAACGCCTGCCCGAAAGTCGAAATGGTTCCTCATGCGTTGTTGTCAGGCTGTCACGATTTATGGACTATTAGCGTGTTAAATTTGTTTGTCCTTTTTATCGCGGAACTGTTTCTGTCTTGTAGTGTTGCGAGACGTTGTTTCTTACGAGATATTTTCACTACCAATCTCGCAAAATTGTTAAAAACTTCTTGGCAACATCGGAAAAGTTAGCTCGTAGCGCAGTGTTCACTGTTCGATTATGAATGTTCGATTTATGCATAATGTCCCAGAGAATATCACTTTTAGACGGGTGAAACTCGAAATGTATTTTTGCTCCCAAGAAAAAATAAAACTAAACCCGTTCGGATGGGATTTTTTTCAGAAGGCATCAACCCTAAACACATTTCCATGGTGTTTAGGTTCGATGCTTCCCGAAGAAGTGCCATCCTATAGATGTTTTTTTTTTTTTTTTTTTTTTTTTTTTTTTTTTTTTTTTTTTTTTCCTTCAGTCCTAGATGTCAGGCAAAAACCATGCGAGGGGTAAGAAGCAATTGAAATTAAGATTTGAAATCTCTACAGTTTTTTCACAGTGGCTCAGAGAGTTTCAACTTTCCTTGAGGGTTTCATCGAGTGACCATTCATGATAGAAATGCGGGGCAACGAGTGACTATCTGTGATAGTATATATGTTCTCGTTTATAGTCCGACGGAATGAGACGCTGCGCGCAGACTGTCAGAATCCCAACCACTAGACCATTGGGATAACAGGGCTTGTTTCAGTAGCGGGTCAGTGCGCCCATAACCCCCCAAGCGAACGCGCCTGTAACCCTCTCCAGGATCAATCGGGCATCCACAGTGCAGATCTACTGACACCCCCCCATACTGGGAGGCCCAGGACTAAGCACAGCGGCAACGGCCTACATGTGCATACACCGGGAATCGAACCTGAGACCGCTCTGATACCATGTTGTCAGAACATTATAGCTTATGCTTTTGTGTAGGCTATAGTGGGGTATCCCATAGGGGGTACAACCCAATTAGGGTTAGTACTTGTACCCACTTCATTCATAGTTCATTCATTCGCGTTCACTTCTTCACATGGAATCAGAGCAGGTCCCCTCCTAGGGACTGTCCCTAGGGCCCACCGAAGCGCGCCCCGAGGCGCGCGTTCCTTTTTTTTTTAGCGACCCTCCGTGTCGCCCCTAGCGGCCCGTTACGCCGCCCTTACCTACGCGGCCCCGCCACCCTTACCTACGCGGCCCCGCCGCCCTTACCTACGCGGCCCCGCCGCCCTTACGTCGCGGCCCCGCCGCCCTCACGTCGCGGCCCCGCCGCCTCACCTACGCGCCCCCCCCCCCCCCCCCCCCCCCCCCCCCGCCCTTACGTC